AACTAGGTGTAAACTTAACGTACAGAAATCCCCAATGATCATTACCCAAAGCAAAGGAAAAATCCCACTCTCAATAACACAGAAACAAGTAGATTTATATGGCATGAAACAAAGTGTACAGCTACTTACACTATCTTCTCCTGCTTGTTCTCTCTGATGAATTACACTGTCAATAAACTCTTTTAAACCATCAATCAGCTCCTCCTTCTTCTTATCATCCAAAAGCCATAGATACTGGAGTAGTTGAGCATGACATATAAGCAGATCTCCAATCCGAAAACGTAAAAGCTTACCTGATTTATGTCATTGTAGCAACAAGGTTTCGCATAAAAAGTCAGTACATAATTCACCATCAGCTCAATAGGCTTCCCTAAAATCACTTCATAGCGATCATGCGAAGCAACAAAAGCACCATATTTACCTGTACAATCACTAACCTAAATTCATCCCATCTAACAGAGAACGAACTGGTTCTTCCTCTTTAAGGAATCTTCCAATGAGCTCTAGTCTCGCAAGGTGAGGACCACGCAATCGACTTTTCGACAATCCCTCAGCGTTGACAACTTCTTTCAGAGTATCCAAGGTTCTAAAAAACAGCGTATGCTCCCATTGTTAAGTCAGACGCCAAACATTGCATGACAGAAACATTTTATAGAAACAAAACAAAAAATAGGATTTCAAAAAGAAAGCTGACTTATTCGTTTCTTCCTCAACTGTAGATCTTCTCAACAGCGCAAATGCAGATTCGAAGAGGACCTTCCACAACGTCCAGTCATCGGGACTATAACATATTGATGTCAGCAGCAAAATTACGAAACCTTAATAAATAAAACGACAAAAAATAGATGACTATAAACTTATAAAAGCTTTGATACAGAGAAAAATTCATATCATAAACACGCACTCTGCTTTCAATCCTTCGGCACTTTTATCAAGGGCACTTTGGTAATTTTCCGCTAACAATAAAAGATCAAGCCGGCGTGCCATCAGAAACGTCGGTGGAGTCGACAGAAGACTCCGAGATTCTTCTGTGCCCAACAATGCTTCGGCTTCCGCAAACTTCTTCATTCCCTCGAGAACCATAGCATGTAATTCAATTTCTGAAAGAATCAATGGAACTTCATATACCCTTTGATTCAACCAGATAGGCGGCTGGAGGGCGGGGTTCGATGATTAGA